TTTTTTTTTTTTTTTTTTTTTTTTGTTTGTTTTTTTTTTTTTTTTTTATTTTTTTTTTTAAAAATATCTTGTTCTTATAAATGTACAAATGTAAAAAAAAGTTCGCCTACAACAGAGCTTTTATAAGAAATAACGTTGGGAAAAAGGGGGGGGGGTGGAATAAATACATATAAATGACCCCCACATAAACACTTAAAGGGGCAAAAACACTAATGATTATATGTGTCATAATATGGGAACAAACAAGCAGAACAATAAATGACACTTATGATTATATGTGTTATATGGAAGCAAACACGTACAACCATTAAATGACATCAACCAAACGTGTTATTATAGAGATATGCATCACCGACAACCAATGTTCCATCTAAGGTTTGCTGGTTCGTGTGCAAAATCATACAGTGGTGTGCAAAGTTTTACAGCATCAATTTTTGTGTGTGCACAATTTACAGCCCACAAACACACACTTACATGGAAATTTGCTGCCCGGTACTCAAAACTGCTAGCTCTGTTCAGTAGACCTGCTAGCTCTGTTCACTTGGCCTGCAAGCTCTGTTCACTAGACCTGCTAGCTCTGTTCAGTAGACCTGCTAGCTCTGTTCACTAGACCTGCTAGCTCTGTTCACTAGACCTGCTAGCTCTGTTCACTAGACCTGCTAGCTCTGTTCAGTAGACCTGCTAGCTCTGTTCAGTAGACCTGCTAGCTCTGTTCACTAGACCTGCTAGCTTTGTTCACTAGACCTGCTAGCTCTGTTCACTTGGCCTGCTAGCTCTGTTCAGTAGCCAGCTAGCTCTGTTCAGTAGGCCTGCTAGCTCTGTTCAGTAGGCCTGCTAGCTCTGTTCAGTAGGCCTGCTAGCTCTGTTCAGTAGGCCTGCTAGCTATGTTCAGGAGCCAGCTAGCTCTGTTCAGTAGCCAGCTAGCTCTGTTCACTACACCTGCTAGCTCTGTTCACTAGACCTGCTAGCTCTGTTAACTAGACCTGCTAGCTCTGTTCAGTAGCCAGCTAGCTCTGTTCAGTAGGCCTGCTAGCTCTGTTCACTTGGCCTGCTAGCTCTGTTCACTAGACCTGCTAGCTCTGTTCAGTAGCCCTGCTAGCTCTGTTCACTTGGCCTGCTAGCTCTGTTCAGTAGCCACCTAGCTCTGTTCAATAGCCAGCTAGCTCTCTTCAGTAGCCACCTAGCTCTGTTCACTTGGCCTGCTAGCTCTGTTCAGTAGCCACCTAGCTCTGTTCACTACACCTGCTAGCTCTGTTCACTAGACCTGCTAGCTCTGTTCACTTGGCCTGCTAGCTCTGTTCACTAAACCTGCTTGCTCTGTTCAGTAGCCACCTAGCTCTGTTCACTTGGCCTGCTAGTTCTGTTCACTAGACCTGCTAGCTCTGTTCACTTGGCCTGCTAGCTCTGTTCACTAAACCTGCTAGCTCTGTTCAGTAGCCACCTAGCTCTGTTCAGTAGCCAGCTAACTCTGTTCAGTAGACCTGCTAGCTCTGTTCAGTAGACCTGCTAGCTCTGTTCAGTAGACCTGCTAGCTCTGTTCACTTGGCCTGCTAGCTCTGTTCA